GGATGGGAGGGGGGTTCGAACAATACAATAACATAACATAACATAACATTTTGTTATTTAAATTAAAAACTAGGAAATTAAAATATCCCAAGTTGGCAACTCTTTTCGCTTATGTTTCACGGGGAAAATTAGGAAGACGACTAAAGAAAAACTATAAAATAAAGAATAGTTTATAGAACATAAATTATTTTATACGAGAGATAATAGAATCAGGCGTTACTTTGCGGAAGTCCATTATAATAAAAATATTAATTAATTTGCAACATTCCGCTAACTAAATACAAAATAGTGGAATAGTGGTGTTGGAAGTAGTGGTGCCGGGAGTAGTAGTGTTGGGAGTAGTGGTGCTGGGATTAGTGGTGACGGAATTAGTGCACGCAATTGAGGGCGGGCGGGAGGTGCTCTTCAATCCAGGTAAGACACATCATTGTATTTAGTTAGCGGAAGGTTGCAAATTAATTATTATTTTTATTTTTCATACGAGAGTTCAAGGTAAAGGCCACGAAGAAGAAAGCTACAATGCTTAGTTATTTTACACAGCTAAGTTTACTGCTAAAATGTAACAATATCACATATAGGTAGGTATATAATATGTAAACCATAATTATTATTAGGGCGATTAAAACAATAACAATGGTATTTTAGGTAAAAATGGTCGTTAGGGCGTTACGTGACATTTACGGAAGGGGGGGGGTACAGAAAAACGTTACGGCGCGTGACATGGAAGGGGGGTCAAAAATCTTCACAAATTGCGTTACGTAATACTTGAACGCCCCCTTGACGTCGTTTCAACGATATGTCGCTATGTACCTTATCTTACCGTAGTGTTTGAATATTTAAAATTCATTGTTATGCGAAATATTCAAATAATCGGTAAAAATATTCAAATAATTGAATCATTAATTTTTTTAATGTATTATTTGTTTAATTAAATTTTACTTTTTAAAATTCTTTAAATTACATGAATATTGAATAAAACAAGTTTATTTTTTACTTTATCAACCTAAATTTGTGTAGGCAAAGAAACTCAGAGCTTACAGGGCGTAATTTTGTGACTTTGTTTTTGTTTTCATATTTTGTGACTTTAACTTTTCAGACTGTTTCTTCTATGTTCTTTGAAGCATATGCCCGTGTCACAAAGGATGATTGGGCGAAATTGGTAGAAAAAACGAAAAAAAATAATATGAATGACTTTTAAAGACATTAATTTTGACTGCGTTATTGAAAATGAAAAAAAATATTAATCCATACAACGAAAGCTCAACTAATTGTACTGAAATTGATTGAATAAATTTATTTGTAATTTAGTTTTAATCTTAAATTTTTTATAACTTTGCCTCTGGAAATAAGCAGTAAGAACGAATTCGAAGAAACTGATAAATCTTGTGTTTTAAAATTATCCGTTTCTAATTTATTCTGGTATTATGTAAGCCAAACTGTAAATTATTACCAACTCCAAATAATCGATATTATCTTTTTGAAAGTTTCATCAAAATCGGTCCAGCCGCTTAGGAGGAGTTCAGTCTCATACACACGGAGAGAAGAATTATATTGTATAACTTTACCCGCTCGCTTAGCTAGGCGCACGATAATATTTTATTGCGGAACCTAGATCCATAATATCAAGAAATTTTTTAGGGGGGCATCCATAAATTACGTGAAATGTTTAAGGGGGGGGGGGGTCGAGTCAAATCTCATCTATTCTTACCTTGGAGAGAGATGGAGGGGGGGGGGTCTCGGCAAATATCACGCAATTTTTTTTTCTGATTGAAACAAAAAACATTATACTATTTTGGTCCATTTAATCCAGATTGTACATGTTTAAGATTAAATCTTAAGCGCATATAGTAATACGATTAACCACTACTGAAATGTCAGATTATTATAATCATAAAAGAGTAAACAGGCAAGATAGTAGGTTTGGCCAAAGACAAATTTTTTAATGAAGGAAAATATAACTTAGAGTTATTACCATATTCTTATCCAAAAATAAAAATTATCAACAATTAAAATAACGAATTTTTTGTATAAAAGTCACGTGAGGGCTAGAGAAACGACGATTGTAAGACGTGTTGATAAATAAAATGTTTAATGAAATAGTACAGTAAAGTAAAAGTTGAAAAATCTCACGTGAGATGGGGGGATGGGGGAGGGGGTTGAATAAAATCTCGAGGTCCTAGAAAACTACTTCTATCTACCTTACCTTACACGCGCGCGTGTGTGTGTGTGTATATGTATAATCCTCTCATAACTTTTGAAGTTTTAAACGTCTTGATTGACTTTAACGAACTTGGTGGCGTTCGAAAGGGTTTCACCAAACTTAGATTACCTAAACTAAACTTAGATTATTAGTGTTCTAACCTATTCAGACCGATAGAATTTGAGAAATCTTTAAAGTAAAATTTTCAAAAAATAGTTTTTTTGGAATAATTATCAAACAGATGTTACGATCAATTCCAAAATCTAATCAGCTCTAAAACATAGAAAACAACGTTGATTGTTGCGAAGCGCTTTAAAATCAGTTAATACGTTCGTAAAGAGAAATCGATGATGAAAAGTTTTGAAGTGTTTTTTTCACTTTTGAATTTACAGTCTAATCCTTTTTTATAATAGACTTTATTATTAATCTTAAATCATCATCATTATTACAACCCTTCACTCCACTGCTGAACATAGGCCTCCCCCAAGTAATGCCACAAAGCACGGTCCTGAGCCACCTGCATACATCGACTTCCTGCATGTCTTACCAGTTCGTCACTCCATCTAGTGGGGGTCGCGCTACACTACGCCTACCGGTACGAGGCTGCCACTCGAGAACCTTTCTTCCCCATCGCATCGGTTATCGGCTCTTCGAGCTATATGTCCGGCCCATTGCCATTTCAGCTTAATAAACCGTTGGGCTATATCAGTCACTCTGGTTTTACTGTGGATATCCTCATTTCTGAGTTTATCACGCAGGGAAACTCCGACCATAGCCGTCTCCATAGCTCGCTGAGCGACCTTGAGTGTCCTCATACGGCTAGCAGTGAAGGACCACGTCTCAGATCCGTAAGCCATCACTGGCAACACACACTGGTTGAACACTTTAGTTTTCAGAGATTGAGGTATACCTGACGAGAAGATGTGTCGTAATTTCCCGAACGCTGCCCAGCCGAGTTGAATCCGTCGATTGACCTCTCGGTCGAAGGTGGACTTACCTAGTCGGACTATTTGTCCCAGGTAAACGTACTCGTCAACAACTTCGAGCATAGTGCTCCCAACAACTACCGGCATAGGTGTGACATGGACATTAAACATGTCCTTTGTTTTGTCCATGTTCATACCTTAAGATGTTATGTTAGTCGTAAAATACCTCGTCAATTGCCGCCAATTACATCAAAATCGTTTGATATGTTTTAAAGTTATCGTTGTTAGTGTTTTTTTTTAAATAACTTCGAAATTTTTGCTCGGATCATTTTTGATGTATAGTTACTATTAGTTCGTAAAAATATTATCTTTAAATTTGAGACCTAACATAGCGGGAAGTTCCGAGGATGGCCTGCAGGGTACAACAATTTTTTTTTAGATAGGACTATCGTAAAATCCGTTCTTAGTGAGCGTCTACATGCGAAATAAGTAGAGTAGAGAATAGAGTAACTATACTAAATTTCAAGTCAATCGGTTTGATAATGAGCACAGCGCCACCTAACATATTCCAGCATAACTCAATAACCATTGTCTCGACAACACAAATAAATATAGTGTGTGATTATGACTTCAATGGTCAGCTCACACCGAGCCGTGACGCGACGCGCACTTTATAAGATAGTAATACAAAATATAACTTTATTTACTGCACAAAAAGTTATTTTATTGAGATAATTCGAAAATGTCGCGCTATACCTTGAAATGCCTCATAGCGTAGCGCAACGCATCACGACGCAGCGGTGCTTCGTCGGTAGGCGTAGCCTGCAGGAGCGGTACGCTGCCAACGACTTTACTCGCGGCGTGCTGTGCAAACCACTGGCCCATAGATTACTGTGTATATACTAGAAGACACTGGCCTTTAAAAGCAGCGTCGCTTCCCGTCTCTGTGTTAACTGACTCTAAGTCGTTCAGAAGTTAAACGCTCGCTAAAAGATAAACCACTCCACAATCATCAGCTAGTCTTTGAATTCATTAAAGTAGCTATTAACTCTCTCACATTGACATTCAACAATATGTGCAATATTTAAAATATTTTTTCTTTGTTTTAGATTTGATGTATTTCTAACTTTACAAATTAAGAGTACCCTTAACCGACGAGCATGTATGCATAGGTATATGGATGTGGAAGAGGCGCGAGAGGTATGTCAGGATCGTGCTAAAGGGAAGTCTGTAGTCTCTGTCTACCCCTCTGGGTGACAGGCGTGAGTGTTTATGCATGTTATGTATTTCTAAAGAATATAAATGCAACCACACCTCAGCCGCACATGAGTATCTGATGAAAATTTTAAAAAACACAATGGCCTGTATGTGTCACTGTGATTATATTATACAATTTACAGACTTAAGCAAAATTCTTAGGTGATTAATTCAAAACTGCATTTAATACCTTTGAAAAAGTTTATTTACCTTAAATAAACCATTTTTTAACTGGTAACAATGTGTTAGGAACCAATAGAAATTACCAAAAATTTTTTATATCACCATAAGAGTATAATCACTAAGGTTAATTACAAGTAAAAGTTGTTATGGGGTTGTCTAATAATAATTTAATAACATTAAAACACGTTCACAACATTATTAATTATAATGCTAGGCATTGACTTTGTCTGTGCATACAATTAACTAGTACATTCACTGATGGGATTAAAAATGAACATTTTGTAATCTATTATTTTCTATAGTTTCGACATACGAACATAATATAATACAATAAATATTAATGATACTGATTGGCCTAAAAATGAGAAAAAAATTTCCATTATAAACGGAAATCCCATCTCATTTAATGGTTATTTCCCTTAATTGTTTCAATATTACTTTGTAGCTTCCTTGAGATATGCAATGAGATCCGCCCTCTCATTTGCCTTTTTCAGACCAGCAAACACCATCTTGGTACCAGGGATGTATTTCTTTGGATTTTCAAGGTATTGAAAGAGTGTTTCTTCACCCCATGTGATGCCTGGAAATAAAAATAAAGGTGTATTATAATCACCATTTGCATGTGTGTCAAGAAGCTAAATTTACTATCTCTTTCACTACCACCCGAGTCTACAGGATGTTAAGAAATCATTATTTTATTAAAATTACCAAATAATGATTAAAAAAAAAATTAAGAATTTTAAAGGGTGCATGTGTGTGTGTGTGTGTGTGTGTGGGGGGGGGGGGTGTGCTGCGCGTGCGTGTGTGGCGCGGAGGGAGAGCTGCCGCAGCCCGCCGCAGCAAATCGCAGGCACCTGTGCGGACCGTAGCAGCTAAGGCTGGTCGCCGAAGCTGCGGAGGTGAGCATGGGTACCTTTGATTTGCTACGCAAGGGCGAAGGGGCTGCACTTCCAAGCCACTGTAGAAGTAACGTTGGGTCAATATTCCTTGTGTATAAAAAGTGAGGTTATGATTTTACAAAGAAACCATTACTCATAAACCATACTTTTCTGCAAGGAGGGAAGGGTAGAGGGGTTTTCCCTGATAGGGCACACTCCTGCTCTACTCTTCCCCCCTCCAGCCGGTAACGATAAATGTTATAATTTTGAGGTTAGGTCTATGGGATTTTCTTCTTTATTTTTCTCAAGAATGGTACCTTTTAATGTGAGTGGTATTATTATAACCCTGATTATATCAAACCTCTACCAAATAAAACACGTTACTCCCCCAAATTCTTGCCAAACTATTCTAAATTCAACCCTAAACTTTGATAGTAATAAAAAACTTTTATAACTTTGCTGTTTCTGTTGCATGTGTTCATTGGACATTGCTTATTTTGAAACATACATATTTCAGTGTAATAAATAGGCTAAAAAAGTTTACATACTTGAGTAGTTTGCATATAAAAATATAAGTATAAAATTGAATTATGATTTTACTTGCATTACTAATTTTACCGACCTATATGGCTATTTAAAATTATCGGTACTTTTTTCTAGACATAATAAAAAAAACCGTCCAACTGCGAAAGAAAATATAGATAAAAGATTTAATACTATGTAGGTACTTTTTGAATACTTAAGAGTGTATGGAATAGTTTGAAGTAGTGTAGGTATATTTTGTTAATTAGACATTTGCATGAATTGCCATTATTATAATCGTCTATTTTGCCATTAAAGACGAGTAAAAACACCAAAAAAAAAATATGTCTCCTGTATGGGAACCCCTTTATTTTTTAAATATAATTTTACTTTATTATATTTTTTAGCAAAGTGTGTGAGTATTTTAAGCGTCTACTTGTTGCCATTATTAATATCAAGCAAAAAAATCCCAAAATACATGTTTTCAATAGAGGTCCTCCTCTGCTTTAATTTTTATTTATTATCATTATTATTTGTATTTATAGCGGCAACAGAAATACACAGTCCGTGAAAATTTCAACTGTCTACCTATTACGGATTGTGAGATTCAGCCCACTAACAGACAGACGGACGGCCAAATGGGCGGAAGGATGGACAGTGGAGGCTTAGTAATAGTAATACACTTCAGGTACGGAACCCCGAAAAAATAATGTTTACTAAATTAATATTTATGTAAAACATTATTAAAGTAAATTATTAATAATGGCAGCTCATGTTCTTCACACATCGACTCTTCAGGGCAGTGTTGTGGCAGCACTCAAACTCAAGCAAATTATCCCAAGGTATCTAAACTACGCCAATCATCACACTAATGAGTCTGAAGCAAATTCTTGACGTCTCTCAGTTTCAATGGTTTTACTGTCACTCCTTGTGTTATTATAATTGATTCAAACATTGCAGATTTTTTTTTACAAATACTTTTATATATTTTTTGGTTTTTCTTTGTTACATACTTTCATATACTATTCAGTAAATAACTGTTATTTTGAAATTACAAACAGACACTTTTATTTATTTGTATAGATTAATACTTCATCGTCAATATGAAATTATTATACCACCCACTTACATTAGACGATAGGTCTAGTCTGTGTATAACTATTAGAAGATTGAACAAGTTTTTATAGAACAAGTATCAAAACTTTGTAACTCTCACATTCATTCCACACTTAACATTCCATAGTTCATTTATAATTATAATTTAGAGCACACAAATCTGCTTAGTCACCCTCAAGAATGAAAATAAATGAGCACACTCCTAACAGTAACCTATCCTCCATACTATGCAACAAAAGTTCCACACAACATTCCATAGTTCAAAATAAATTTAGAGCACACAAATCTGCTTAGTCACCCTCAAGAATGAAAATAAATGAGCACACTCCTAACAGTAACCACCATAATCCTCCATACTGTTTATGCAACAGTGATTGGTTGTGAAGGACAATGCTGGTTTGGATACAAGTACAAGCAGACTATGCTGTTTTTGTAACATACATTCTTAAACATTAATTTCTATGAGGCATAGCGGTTTTAGCTACAATTTGAATGTAGAAAAATATTTATTTTAATCTGGAGATTCATATACGCCGCACATAACACAATTTCATTTTTTAAGGACATTGCGGTTTTTTATTCTAGTAGAATATTCTTGGCTTGAAGTACCTATAATCACTAATCATTTGATTGAGAGCAACTTTAAGCATTTCATATATTGGCATCATTTAAAAAAAAAGTGAGAATGATGTTAAAATGTAAGGGATAGTCCTTTTGAATTTTATGTTAATAAATTACTATGTATGTCTGCAAAAAATTAACATCTTGAACTGAATAATTATAATGATATAATATGTGCCAAATCGATTGAGAAAAACGGACAATGACCTCGGATATGAGCCGAGTGTGAAAAGGCGTAACTTACAAAATCTCAATTTAGATGTGATAACAATATTTAATATTGATATTATTCACACTTCTAGGTCAGCACATAGGTTTTGTTTTTTGTTTCTTAAATAATATTGTCTGTGGTTTCTATAAACATCCATCTTACGGTACATCGCGAAAAATGTGTTATATTTTATATTTCAATTTATGGTAAGTAACGCAGCAATTCATTTAATAACAGTTTCATATAAAAAAAATATTTGAAGCAATATAATCACCACATTGAGCTTTTGCAAATTCATCCCTATAAAAAAAACAAAACGCGCGTTACGTCAGTTCGTTCTAAAAGAAACATGATAATGGCAGCCAGAGATGCGTCACTTTTTTTGGGCCGGTCTGCATGCACAGAATAGAAATAAAGTTCTTATATTATATTAAAAATAAAGTTTTATCTTTTGAATAAGTACATACTTATTCAATATCGTTATCACTCGAATCTTTATGTGTTATAAATTAATGTTTTTTGTTGTTAAATGAATAAAGTACCTTATAACAATAGATGATTTTTCTTCTACAGTAATTTTTCACATAACTTTTTAATAATAGTTAATAAATATATCGACGACGAAGTGGCAATTACTCCTATCTCAATTTTTGCGAATTTTTTTTTTATTTCATAGTTATACTTAAAATTACCTAATTCAGGTCCTCATGAAGACACCAGGTCTTTAGAGTCAAAATTGATCAAGATATTGAGGTGTGGCAATACCTTCTTAATTATTATAAAAAAAAATTGCTGGCAATTTATCCTATCTAAGCTGTGGCACGTCCGTTTCATGGTGATCTAGTAGCCGACTGAATGACGGTTAATTTTCGCGCGACTCATCGAGCAGGTTGAAGTTAGTTGTGCATGGTATGAAAATCTATCTAGAATCAATTATATTTAATAGGGGTTGATATTGAACCTTATCTTAAGTCTAACTCACCTAGTTGGACTAGGTGATCTTGAATATGTATAATGATTTAGGTCGTTTCTCGCAAATAAATCGCTATGATGAACTAACTAATGCTTGCCTTCATCCACAATCACTAGCTGTTCGGAGCTCCTATTTAGCTGATGATGACACAATATCAATATACAAAAATAACTATCACACAACTGGCATTGCAGCAACCGTTTAACCAAATCGTGGTCGCTTTCTAATTTGATACCGTGAACCCCGTCAGCAGCTTAAAAAAAACGATGTCATTTCCTCTGCTGAATCAGAATTGTGAAGCTGTTTATTCTCATCTTGATAACACTTCACTATGGATAACCATTCATAATGACTTAGCAAGTCTTAGTGGTAATGATTCTGACACAGAAACCGACATTGATACAGATACAGATATTGAGGATATCAACGAGGGTAGGAAGCGTCGCCACAAGGCCTTGCCAAATACGTGGAAAAGAAACAAAGCCAAATTACGAAGGATGCAAGAAGAGCAGTACTAAGGATATTCAAAACCAGCAAATAGAAATTTTTTACACGATACTTTAAGATCTGCTTCGAATAATGGGAGAACGATGCAAGTCTGATTATTGTGTTAAAAGTAAGTTAAGAAAGTGTTCTAAAATAAGTAAAGACTGTAGAAAACAAATACACAGATTCTTTTGGAAGCAAATGAATTGGGAACGCAAAATCTAGTCTCTAGAGAAATGCTCAAAAACTGCTCAAAAAACAAACAAACAATGTTCATTACAGGCGTACAGAAACTGCATTATATTTTTTGCCTATCAATAGTGACGGATCAGATAAAGTACAAGTGTGTAGAACTATATTCCTTAACACGCTTTGGCTGGGAACATTTACTGTACGTTCATGGACAAAAGATAATGATTTTGGTATGATACCACATCAAGAATTAAGAACCTTAGTCCGCAATCCTACATCAAGATCCGATAATACGCAAAAGTTATTGACGTTAAACAACTTTCTAGATAATAAAAAATAAAAGGAAATTGATAAAAAGAAAGCTGCTGACGGGGTATTTATTTTACTGAGCATGGATTTGGAATCTGTAAAGGTTATGTAGTCCCTTTTTAAACGCTAGTGCGTTATACTTTAAAACCAAATTAACAGTCCATAACTTCACAGTGTTCAATTTAATTAGTACACATTGCACTTGCTATTGGTTTGATGAAACATCGGCTGACTTAACTGCAAGTACATTTGTGTCATTTTCGAAATACATTGCGTTCACCAACTCCTACCTATCGTAATTAATTCAGATGGGTGTACGTATCAAAATCGTAATACTATTAAATCGTCAAATGCCCTGCTGTTTCTAAGTAAAAAGTACAATAATATCACTATAACTCAAAAGTTTCTAGAATCAGTACATACGCAAATGGAGTGCAATTCTGTCCATGCGGCAATCGAACGAAAACTCAAAAATCGAGGAAATTCACTTACCAAGTGATTACAGTACAATTACAAAGGAAGCACGCAGGATAAATCCTTATGAAGTTATACAAGTTGACTACAAGTTTGTAAAAAACTATGCTGATACTGAAAATTGGTATTACAAAAGTATAAGACCTGGGCGTAGGGCTGGCGATCCACAAGTAGTAGACATAAGAGCCATAAAATACAACACAATGACAGATGAAGTAAAGCTCAACTTTGATGAAGATTGGACTTCTCTTCCACAGAGACCCAAGATTATAAGTTCCGAAATGTATTCATCGTCAAATGTATTCGAATAGAATTCCAATAAAAGCTACAAAATTCAATCATCTTCAGCAATTAAAGGCAGTACTTCCTAACGATTGTCATGCCTTTTACAACTCTTTGCCTTTCGAATATGCAGGGTTTTATTATAATTGCACTATTTTATGTCATGATGTGGTAGGTGACTGTTTCTTTAATTACAATTTATCTTTTTAAAAGGTTTATGATTGTTATTAATGCAAAATGTTAATTTGTATTTTAGTAGGTACCTAGTTAAGTTCTTAGACGTTTGTCATATTTTACTAATTTTGTAGACATTTGGGTATTAGTTCTATAAGCGAATACTTCTACTTGTGTTTTAGTTAGGTAGGTAATCAGAACATTGTAAGTATATTCAACAGCAAGTCATATCTACCGACACGAATATATTTCTTGCAAATTGAGTTGATTTTTTATCGTGATAAGGTCTAGTTAATCGTTGATTTATTATTTGTAGTTCTCAGATTTCAAGTTATCTTTTTGTTATGTGTCTTTACTTTTTTAAAAATTGGTGCCTACTTGTATTTTAGATTATTGTAACAACACTGTAGATTTTTGAACATACAATGTTTGTGATATCGTCCAGTATTTTAAATACTAAGCTTATTCCACCAATGTTTCACTAAAAGTGATTAATAAATAGTGATTATTCAATCAAAATACAGTTTTTTTTCGTTGCAATACCTGCTATCTCAAGAAAAGAAAAAAAAAGAAAAAAAATTGTAACAATTCCTCCTATGTAGTAATATTTCAGAAACCTGTAATATTTCACTATATTTAACAATACAGTCTTATTTCTTATCTTCCTGTAACGAAATTAAAACTTTACAATATTCCAAAAGTATACGTAAAATTAAGTGAAACGTTTTTTTCGTCTCCTGTAAAGTAGTGTTTTTTGAGTTAGGAGTAATTGCCACTTCGTCGTCGATATATTATATCAATCATTATAAAAAAAAAAATAAAAAAAATCATTATAAATAAAGAAAGTACTACATATAAAATGTGCCTATATATTGAAGGCTTGTAAACTACGGTTAAATGACCAAAAGGTCATTGTCCATTTTTCTCAATCGATTTGGCACATACTATAGTAGTTTATCGTTTTGGGACATGTTGCAAAATAAAATTATAATGAAAAACAAAAATAGCTGAAAATGATTGCTTCAGGCAAAAACAACCAATAACCTAAACAAGAAACGAAATTTACCAGACTTTACAAATAGGAAAAAGAATTATTTATAGACACTAAACAGCTTGTGTTAAACACAAGACATATTAGTGGTAATAGTAACATATAACTTACCTTTGGATTTATTAGCATCTGAGTATGAGAAACCAGGTGCCTGTCCAGTTTTACGTCCAAAGAAGCCATGAAGGTTTGGACCTACTTTATGTTTGCCACCAGCTTCAACCTGTAATCGTAAGAGAGCCGAGTTTAGTATCTTGCGGCATGATTTTTTTAGTGAATTTGGTCTAAATTATTGATAAAATAATGCTCTCATGTACACCCCAGCTATACACAAAAATAATACATAATATAGAAGGCAGTGCAGCAAAACTAAAAAGAATAATGAATATTCGAAAAGATAATTAATTATAAGTACAATTTAAACAGTACAATATTGTACTGTTTAAATTTTATTTATATATGCTGGAATTATATTATGGTTGTAGCACGAAAGGACCATACACTTACAGAATACCAGCGTAATACTGCTGTTTCATATGGTGAATGTAGAGATCTGGAGACCCTTTTTTACTAGAAACGAGACATTCCATCTTAGTTCTCAGAGGTGACAATGCATCTGCATTTTGATTCTTAATCGAGGATAAATGTAGATGTTTATGCACCACAGCATCTACTTACCATCAGATGGACTGTGCTTCTTTGTCACCCTTATTCTATATAAAAAAATACATATTTCTATTATATGGATATATCATGGAAATAAGCATTTAAATTCAAATATTCAACTCAATTAGAAATTTCTTTTTTATAAGTGTATGATTTTTTATAAGATAGAGTGACAAACAAGCACACAGTTCACCTGATGGTAAGTGGTAACTGTGGCCCATAGACACCTACACATATCCTCGATTATGAATTAAAATGCAGATGCATTGTCACCCGTGAGGACTAAGATGGAATGCCTCATTTCCAGTAAAAAGAGTCTCAGGTTCTCTACACTCACCATACGAAACACAGCAGCATTAAGCTTCTATAGTTAGTGTGATGTAAAATCTTAAACGGCAATATTAAAATAAAATAACTTTAATAACTTAGTAAAATAAAAAATATAAAAATCACTATCATACATATACATGATGATGTATGCCATCATATGTATGTATCAAACATAGTTTTAGTGTTTTTTTAATTAAAATAATGGATGCCTTATGTATGATGTAATAAATATGACACTTACAGTATGACACTGGGCACATCTCTGTACAAATATTTTCTTTCCATTCTCAGCATTACCCGCAGGTACACCCATTATGTTTAACTAGAAAATATATGAATGATTAATGAGACCAGATCCTTCAAATAAATAAGTGCATGTGTTACATAATACTACATATGAAATAAGTAATATAAAAAAAAACGATATGATCCATGAGTTTAATTCCACTGTAATCAGTAAGAAACGAGTATATTCTTGTCTGTGTCAAGATCAATGTCAGTAGGGAATTCAAAGGTATGTCGTAATGACATCATTACGTAAGTTTGTGAAATTAGTAAAACGGGCAAATATCAAAAAATATAAATGAGAATATATTACAAATTTAAAAGAAGCTGCCTTGTGAGCAGATAGTATTACAAGATTCACATTACAGGAAAATTAGAATTTTTTAAGGTTACTAGATCGATCAATATGTGGAATGCATTGAAGGACTTAAAAAACTTATAACAATTAGGTACATAGCGACTCAGAGAAAATAAATATACTTACTTTATGAGTCCAATAACAGTAACTGTAATTTAATTTTTATGGAAATAATTCCCTTGAGAGACTGAGAACAATTCACCAACGAAACCAACTGGTAATCTCCTTCTGTCTGCCTGTCCAATCCAATCTGTCAGTCTGTCACGAATCACGATCGCGAAATAACGAGCAGTGTTGCCAGATGCCTTAAAGCTTTTATCTGTATTAGAAACTGCTAAAACCCTTAGAGCATACATTACATGGAGGGAGCACTGTGTGAGCAGAAAGCGTGATCGGCGTAGAGAGAGAGAGACTGAGTTTAGGTAGAGTCTGTCTCTCTCGCACAGTCACTGTCATTGGCTGTTTCATTGGGCATGCTCTCGCGCGATGCAACGGTGGAAAACACGCCAGCCAATCAGAAGCATGTGCGAGAGAGACAGACTCTACCTAAACCTTAGAGCACCGATCACGCTTTCTGCTCACACAGTGCTCCCTCCATGTAATGTATGCTCTAAGCTAAAACCTGTATTAAATCTGTATCACTGACCTCTATTTAAACAAGTACGCTGTACTGGCTATACCATAAAAAATGACTGTGCCAATTTGAAGCGCCGCTAAAGGTTGTCTTGAAAAATAAAATTGACATATTATATGCCATAGATAAATAAATATGTAGCAAGCTAATTATATGCCAAAGTCTGTTGTCATATTTAAAAAATCTGTATTTTGAACTTTTAAACTAAAAAACGAAAGTATTTTTTTGTTTTTTGATTGTGTATAATATTATTTACATAATAAGATTTATTTTTATTAATAATGAGAGTGTGCGTAATCTGTAAAACTCGTTACCAAAAGGGAAGTGTTGTAACATTTCACAAGTAAGTGAATTTGCAGCAAATATTAAACAAATTAAAACTATTTGATAATATAAGTACTTAAAAATTTGTTACTAATCTTAATATCATTTATACAAACATGTTTGGCTGTATATTACTGAGTTTTGATAAACAATAAAATTCAATAGGGTTGTCGAGTTCCTTGTCTATAATACTTATCGATGTTCTTTCCTACCTATACCTGTTAATAAACAAAGTCGCCAATAACAGATGATTATCAACTAACAATGTTTATTAATTAACAGCTTTCCGACTGAACCTACTAAAATTATGGCTTAAAAGCATAAATATTGTGAATTGGCTTCCGAAACAAAATGATCATATTTGGTCCAAACATTTCACAGGCGACTGTATTATTAGACATGAGAACTTAAACCACTTTGAAAAAGTGCAGTATACCGACAATATTTTGTTTTATTGATTGTTATTTAGAATGTTTTTTTTATTTCTTCTTTCCTAATTTTCCACCAAACTCAAGGGCCATAGCCAAGTGTCGAAAATTCGCCTGATGATGTCGAGCCACGTTGGATGTGTGTTAGTGGGCTGCGGCTAGAGGAGATTCCTCTCCCTGTACCGCTGTAGTTGAGGTGGAGTAGTAAGGGAAGAGGAGTGTTGGTATGGCGATCGGCGATGCGCCACTCGACTATCTTTGCTGCCATTGGGCGGCTGGCGCCAGAGGGGCTGCGGATGTGCATGAAAGCGTTTCCGTGGCCCTGCCAATTTGCGGCGGAGGTAGAACACCATGGAGTTTTAGTAAGTGCGATCTAGAGATTTAATTCTCTCTTAATTGCAGGCATTTAATAATATGAGTACATATTTGTGCTATTTGCTGTAGAGACTATTGGTCCGTAGGGTGCATGTGCGGTGTAGTTCCTAAAAAACTGTATCTGCGACTGATCATCGCTGCTGGTAATAAGAAGTTGTTTAGTTTGTTGCTTCCTCGCTTGAAGGCTAAGTATAGCCATTCAGAGAGGACACGTAGCCAGCATTCTTGGGACGATACCACGGAAAGTAGGACCGTAAGATAATTTCAGTTATTTTTTTGATATTGTAATTTTAATTTAGAAAATGACATTGTAACCAACTGATAACTATTTAATTCAAAGTTTATATTCTTTTAATATTATCTTGCTAGCTCGTTCCCGGCGCATTGCTGCCGCAAAAGGGATAATTGTGGAAATATCGTTAAAAATGTGGAACAGTTATAATGTATAATTAGGAATGATAATACAATCATTGAAATAGAATGATATATAACTTTCTATAACTTTCAAATAAATAGTCAGTATAATATAATACGCACGCCACCTAGGGTCCGTTAGTTGTACCATGCGTATAATCTTCGCACGAGTGCAATCAATAAGTTGACTAAGTTTTACCGCAATCTGATGAACGGTATGGCATCGTAGAAAATACGAACAAACATAAATTTTTATATAGTAGAAAATATTTTACTGTCTATAGACAGACCTGTAGTTGATTAGAATAAGCGTTATTATAGCAGCTGATTTGTTTTTCTTTATAATACTAGAACTAAATGAACGATTGAAAATAAATTATTTTAGAAACTATGTTTTTTATTTTTATTTTTTGTAGATAGTTTAATCTTAATAATTTTTAGTTGAATGGTCTAAAGGCTACGATGGCTATCCGAGTACAGAACCAGAGTACATAACTAATTATTAAAATATATTGATTACCTCAATACTTTAAATGTACATAAAATTATCTTGTTTACATTGCCTTACATACAGGGTTGGCCACAGGAGAATAAAATAAGATATGATTTAAATTTATCATGTAACAATAATTTAAATTTGACATTTAATTGTAACAATTATACCAATAGAATTAATTTAATAGATATTAATAATTTAATTAAGAAATTTTGGACTACAGATAGGTATTACCTATCCAAATATAATTTAAGACAGATAGCAAATGTGCTATCTTATTATTTATATATTAACTCAGCCAAGGACTTGGCTACCCAGACATCTGCTCCTATTGAGCAGCATAATGATTTGTCATGTAATTTGGAATCCGTTCCAAGTAATTTAAATTAGAAAATGAGACAATAGAGGTAATCTCTAGCAGTTATAATAATTTAAATAATTTAGAATGTATCTTACAAATCCTTAATAGTTACAATTGTATAATAACTCCACAAAATGTTAATAAAAATTGTTTACACCTGGTGCATCAGAATATACAAGGCATGATAGGCAAAGAGCTAGAAATTGGATTGTTTTTAAATAGCAACAATATTCATATTTTATGTATTACTGAACATTGGTTAAAAGCTCATAATTTAATGTTTAACTTTAGTAATCACCAGGTGCTCAGTTCTTTCAATAGAGAAACGATTTTAAGAGGTGGCTCCTTAATTTTAGCTAGTAAATTATTATCATATAAAGAACGTAAAGATATTGTGAGCCTCTCTGTTGAGCGAACTGTAGAAATGGCATGTGTTGAGTTTGAGCACCTCATTGTTGTGAGCGTTTACAGACCCCCATGTTCTTTATATGATACTTTTGAAAAAATTATGGAGGAAGTTTTCGCTAAGCTTAATAAACAGAATAAATCTGTTGTAATATGTGGAGACTTTAATATCAATCTCCTAGAAGTCCCTTCACTAATATTAAATTTAGATCATTGTTTAAATCTTATGGTCTTTTTAATTTATTTTTGGAGCCAACACGTATTGCTGAATCTAGTGCAACATGTATAGATAACATTTTTACAAATATTAAGCCGTTCAATAAATGTATAATTCAAAAATTGAGCTCTGATCACTGTGGACAATTTGTTTCATTACCTTATGTTCACAAAAAAGCAAGTAGATAAAAAAGTAGTGTTTGTTCCAGTAAATGCACATCGCTTGGAGAAGTTTAGAAGTAACATAGTAAAAAAACTTCCATTACTTTCATACCAAAATAATCCAAATTTTTTGTATGCAACATTATTTAAGCTCATTTGCAATGAATTTAATAATAATAATAATAATAATAATAATAATAATAATAATAATAATAAAAGACGGCGTAGGGAAGTGACGACCCCATCGCCCGCTGACGTAACAGTTATGTGACAAAACTGCTACGTCGGCGCAGTCAGTCAGCATCCTGCCAAGAGGTGTGAGCGCCGTGCCTAGGCAAAATTGTAGGTGCAAAGGTCCGTTTGTGCATATGACCCAACCACGAAACGGTGCCGGGTTTGGGCGTCTCCCGTTATTTGGCGCCCATAAAATGGATGATGGCACAAAGAGGAACGCGCATAGGGCCGCTGCCTGGGGGTCGCCGGGGCGCGTCTGGAGCTGGCGCTGGACGCGGCAGCATGCGGGCCGCCAGCCGAGCGCGAGGAGCTGCACGATCACCTAGCAGCCCCTCGCATCCATCATCCCCACCAGAAGGCTTGGTGTCGGCTGGGTCTTCTCGGACTCAGCAAGCGGCACCCGCCGCTGGTGGAGCACGTCGCATGCGTTGGACAAAACCTATGAATGAAAACGCATTGCGGGCGTACTATAGGGCGAAAGGGGAAGAAACTGTGGGAATAGCGTATAGGTCTCGGATGCATTGCTTTTTTGCTGAGCTGGAGCCTTCTACCCCCGTCACGGAACAAAACCTGGCAGACCGAGTTCGGTACATCATGCGCTCGAAAATATTTGATGATGCCGAACTCGGACGACTACGACGTGAGGCTATTCCGTCGTCGAATGAATCGGCTATGGCTGGAGATGCAGCTCCACATTCGACAGACCAGCATCCACACGTGGAAGCCGCCCTGGATCTTCCCGTTGTGGTTGATTCGAACGACGATGAAATAGTCTCCCACGAACTAGAGAAAATGAGGAGTATACTGGAAGAGGCGATTTTGGAAACGCGCAGCACCCCTATCGAAAATCGACCGCGACTTCCCCCGCATACCCCTAAGCAAGCGAAATCGGGCTGTCGTGAGGGCTCTTAACCCAATGCTGGTGACCTATTTGGAAGCCAGCCGGGACCTTTGCGAGACGGACTCAATTCTCTTTGGCGCCGCAGTGGCAGTATGCCGTATTATTGGCGCCAAACTTCCCATGGCTGGACGCGCTACTACACAAAGTAGCGCCATCCCAGCCTGGAGAAAAAGAATCGAGGACCGTATCGCAAAGGCAAGGGCCCTTATCGGCAGACTGACAAGCTTCAGGTCGGGTAATAATAGACCGAGGATTATGCGCACCGTTAGGATGGCGTTTGCTGGGACAAATACCAGTTTGTCCCAGCCGGATATCACGCAGAAACTAACGGAGCGCATAGACGACCTGAAGCAAAAGATCGCTGCTTGGGGCAAGCGGATTCGACGATTTACCGACAGGTCAAGGCGGTTCAACCAGAATCGTCTCTTCCAGAGTGATCAGAAGAGGCTCTATAAATCATTGGAGCGACCAAAGGTATGTGGAGCGGGCCAAGGACCGGATCAGGCAGACATTATCGCATTCTGGCGTGGCCTGTGGTCAGAGCCCGTAAACCACATCGAGGGCCCTTGGATGGAAGTTGTGGCGAGCCAGGGTGCGAGTGTTACGCCTATGGACCCCATCACCGTAACGCCGGAAGACGTGGCTGAGGCGGTCCGTGGGCCCCGAACTGGAAAAGTCCGGGGCTCGACGGGCTGCATCATTACTGGCTGAAGGGGTTCATAGTGTGTCACGCTGTGCTCGCCCGACAGTTTCAAGAGGCTCTCGACCAGAAGTCGCTCCCGAGCCTCTTCACTACTGGGATCACTCACTTGGTTCCTAAAGATCAGGATACCACAGACCCGAGCAAATACCGCCCCATCACGTGTCTACCCACCATATATAAGACACTGACATCCATTTTGAGCGCGAGAATCACTCGGCACCTGGAGCTAAACCAGTTGATGTCACGCGCTCAAAATGGATGTCGGGGCGGTGGTCGTGGAACCAAGGAACCACTCCTCATTGACGCGGTCATAGGCAAAGTGGTGAAACGCAACCGTCGGAACTTCTCTGCCGCCTGGATAGACTATAGAAAGGCGTTCGACTCGGTGCCCCATACATGGCTAAGGAGGGTCCTCGAGCTGTACAAGATTGACTGTACAGTTAGAGACTTCCTCGAGCAGTGTATGGGGCAGTGGAGTACGATCCTTTGTCATCTGGGCGAGCGGATGATGGCTGCGGAGAACCACATAAGGATAAGAAGGGGTATCTTCCAGGGCGATTGTCTGAGTCCAATCTGGTTCTGCCTCTCTCTAAACCCTCTCAGTACCTTACTGGAGGGCTCCGGGAGGGGATTTCAGCTACGGAGAGGAGGGACAAAAGTGACCCACCTTTTCTATATGGATGACCTCAAGTTATTCGCCTCCAGTCGCTCCCATCTTATGGAACTGCTAAACATCACTTGTGAATTTAGCAGTTCCATTGGAATGGAGCTGGGGACGGATAAGTGTGCGGTCCTCCATGTTGAGAGGGGAAGGGTTGCTAACTCTGAGGGCATAGACTTGTCTATGCCCGTCAACTTAAGGACCCTTTCCGAGGCTGAAACATACCGATACCTGGGTATGTCACAGAACATCGGTATCGATGAGGCTGGTATGAAACAGTCAGTTTGCGACGTGTTTTATGCACGCTTGACCAAAGTGCTTAACAGCCTTTTGTCCGGTGTGAATAAGTCACACGCATATAATTGCTGGGTCATGCCTGTCCTCATGTATACCTTTGGCATACTCAGGTGGACTCAGACTGAGCTTAACGCCCTGGATAGAAAAGTCCGCACTACCATGACGTCCCATAGGATGCATCATCCGAGATCGTCGGTAATGAGGCTGTACTTGCCGCGAAAGCATGGTGGGCGTGGCTTTCTGAGCGCGCTCACCATGCATAATCGCGAAGTGTGCAGTCTCCGTCAATACTTCTTGACGAGATCGGATGATCCATTCTATAATGACGTCATTTCTAGTGATAAAGGGCTTACCCCTCTATCCTTAGCCAACGAGCAATGGCAGGACCCGGCAGTGCTTAGTATTCCCGACCGGGAGACCGTATGGAAGGAGAAGGAGCTCCACGGGAGGTACTACAAGGCTCTACATGAGCCCTTCGTAGATACAGTCGCCTCCCTCAACTGGCTACGTTTCGGTGACCTTTTCGGGGGAAACCGAGGGTTTTGTCTGTGCAATACAAGATCAGGTTATTAAGACCAACAACTATCGGAGATACATCCTAAAGGATGGCACCGTCGACGTCTGTCGAGCTTGTCGCCATCCCGGGGAGTCACTTAGGCATGTCATCTCCGGTTGTTCGGCGCTTTCTAACTCTGAGTACTTGCACAGGCACAACCTAGTAGCCAGAATTCTACACCAGGAGCTCGCTCTGAAATACGGTCTCGTGGACCGGAAAGTGCCGTATTACAAGTACTTGCCGGAAGCCGTGCTCGAAAATGACCGCGCCAGGCTCTACTGGGACCGGGCCATCATCACAGACAGGACTATTCTTGCGAATAAACCTGATATTGTGCTGATGGACCGGGCACAGTCAAGAATATTTTTGGTCGATATTACCATCCCGTATGACGAGAACCTCGTGAAAGCCGAAACAGATAAGCAATCAAAGTATCTGGACCTGGCTCACGAGGTGACCGACATGTGGGGTGGTATGCCGACCGAAATTATTCCTGTAGTCGTCTCTGCGAATGGGCTAATCCCAGTTAGCCTCTCTGGTCATCTGAGGCGACTGGGACTCCGTGACGGACCGCTCCGGGCTCAAATGCAGAAGGCGGTGCTCCTTGATACTGCCCGCATCGTCCGCCGGTTTCTTTCCCTTTCTCCCTAACCCTCGGCCGTTTGGTCTCCCCTGCCGAGGGCTTCCATCTGGTTGGGCTTTTATTTATTTATGTATTTATTTTATTTTATTAATATTTATGTATATTTATCTTTTCATTTTCATTTATAATTATATATTTATACATCCCAACCAGATGAGAAAACTATATAGATACCCCACATAATAATAATAATAATAATAATAATAATACAAAAGTGACCCACCTTTTCTATATGGATGACCTCAAGTTATTCGCCTCCAGTCGCTCCCATCTTATGGAATTGCTAAACATCACTTGTGAATTTAGCAATTCCATTGGAATGGAGCTTGGGACGGATAAGTGTGCGGTCCTCCATGTTGAAAGGGGAAGGGTTGCTAACTCTGAGGGCGTAGACTTATCTATGCCCGTCAACTTAAGGACCCTTTCCGAGGCTGAAACATACCGATACCTGGGTATGTCACAAAACATCGGTATCGATGAGACTGGTATGAAACAGTCAGTTTGCGACGTGTTTTATGCACGCTTGACCAAAGTGCTTAACAGCCTTTTTGTCCGGTGTGAATAAGGCACACGCATATAACGGCTGGGTCATGCCTGTCCTCATGTATACCTTTGGCATACTCAGGTGGACTCAGACTGAACTTAACGCCCTGGATAGAAAAGTCCGCACTACCATGACGTCCCATAGGATGCATCATCCGAGATCGTCGGTAATGAGGTTGTACTTGTCGCGGAAGCATGGTGGTCGTGGCTTCTTGAGCGCGCTCACCATGCATAATCGCGAAGTGTGCAGCCTCCGTGATTACTTCCTGGCGAGATCGGATGATCCATTCTATATGGACGTCATTTCTTGTGATAAAGGACTTACCCCTCTATCCTTAGCCAACGAGCAATGGCAAGACCCGGCAGTGCAGAGCATTTCCGACCGAGAGACCGCATGGAAGGAGAAGGAGCTCCACGGGAGGTTCTACAAGGCTCTACATGAGCCTTTCGTAGACACAGTAGCCTCCCTCCACTGGCTACGCTTTGGTGATCTCTTCGGGGGAAACCGAGGGTTTTGTCTGTGCAATACAGGATCAGGTTATTAAGACCAACAACTATCGGAGATACATCCTAAAGGATGGCACCGTCGACATCTGTCGAGCTTGTCGCCATCCCGGTGAGTCACTTAGGCATGTTATCTCTGGTTGTTCGGCGCTTTCTAACTCTGAGTACTTGCACAGGCACAACCTAGTAGCCAGAATTCTACACCAGGAGCTCGCTCTGAAATACGGTCTCGTGGACCGGAAATTGCCGTACTACAAGTACTTGCCGGAAGCCGTGCTCGAAAATGATCGCGCCAGGCTCTATTGGGACCGGGCCATCATCACAGACAGGACTATTCTTGCGAATAAGCCTGATATTGTGCTGATGGACCGGGCACAGTCAAGGATATTTTTGGTCGACATTACCATTCCGTATGACGAGAACCTCGTGAAAGCCGAAACAGACAAGCAAACAAAATATCTGGACCTGGCTCACGAGGTGACCGACATGTGGGGTGGTCTGCCGACCGAAATTATTCCTGTAGTCGTCTCTGCAAACGGGCTAATCCCAGTCAGCCTCTCGGGTCATCTGAGGCGGCTGGGACTACGTGGCGGACCGCTCCAGGTTCAAATGCAGAAGGCGGTGCTCCTCGATACCGCCCGCATCGTCCGCCGGTTTCTTTCCCTTTCCCCCTAACCCTCGGCCGTTTGGTCTCCCCTGCCGAGGGCCTCCATCTGGTTGGGCTTTTATTTATTTATGTACTTTTATATTTATTTTATGTTATTGATATTTATGTATATTTATTTTTTCATTTTCATTTATAATTATATATTTATAGAACCCAACCAGATGAGAAAACTATATAGATACCCCATAATAATAATAATAAGGCGTAGGGAAGTGACGACCCCATCGCCCGCTGACGTAACAGTTATATGACAAAACTGCGACGTTGGCGCAGTCAGTCAGCATCCTGCCAAGAGGTGTGAGCGCCGTGCCTAGGCAAAATTGTAGATGCAAAGGTCCGTTTGTGCATATGACCCAACCACGAAACGGTGCCGGGCTTGGGCGTCTCCCGTTATTTGGCGCCCATAAAATGGATGATGGAAAAAACACAAAAAGGAACGCGCATAGGGCCGCTGCCTGGGGGTCGCCGGGGCGCGTCTGGAGCTGGCGCTGGACGCGGCAGCATGCGGACGGCCAGCCGAGTGCGAGGAGCTGCACGATGACCTAGCAGCCCCTCGCATCCATCATCCCCACCAGAAGGCTTGGTGTCGGCTGGGTCTTCTCGGACCCAGCAAGCGGCACCCGCCGCTGGTGGAGCACGTCGCATGCGTTGGACAAAATCCATGAACGAAAACGCATTGCGGGCGTACTATAGGGCGAAAGGGGAAGAAACTGTGGGAATAGCGTATAGGTCTCGGATGCATTGCTTTTTTGCTGAGTCACGGAACAAAACCTGGCAGACCGAGCTCGGTACATCATGCGCTCGAAAATATTTGATGATGCCGAACTCGAACGACTACGATGTGAGGCTATTCCGTCGTCGAATGAATCGGCTATAGCTGGAGATGCAGCTCCACATTCGACAGACCAGCATCCACACGTGGAAGCTGCCATGGATCTTCCAGTTGTGGTTGATTCGAACGACGATGAAATAGTCCCCCCTGAACTAGAGCAAATGAGGAGTATATTGGAAGAGGCGATTTTGGAAACGCGCAGCACCCCTCTCGAAAATCGACCGCGACTTCCCCGCATACCCTTAAGCAAGCGAAATCGGGCTGTCGTGAGGGCTCTTAACCCAATGCTGGTGACCTATTTGGAA